AAAATTGTGTGGTTATTCTCTTGTTGAGTTTGTCCGAAATCAAGCTTCCAACGTGTGCCCATATTTAGTAATCACTTAGGATGATCGTATTTAGTTAGTCTTAGTTAGCTATACGAGGGCACGCAAAAGCGTAACTTGTGCAGGCATGAATTGGATCCTTCATATTTGATGAAAGGCTGGACAGCAGAGAAAAAATGCTCAGCACCTTTGTACAGTGGCGTGAAGCGGAACCTCTGCTGAACTTGTTTTGTAGATTGAAGATTTCGTTGGAGTCGAGAGTACAAGTTGTCATCCCCCGCATGGGACATTTGGAAGCCGATTATGAAAATCAGTGTGGGGGTTTTTCGTGTGGGCTCAGGGTGGGCTCAAGGTACGCTCAGGGGGTGCTCAGGGTTGGCTCCGGGTATGCTCAGGGGGTGCTCAGGGCACGCTCATGGGGTGCTCAGGGTATGCTCATGGGGTGCTCAGGGTATGCTCATGGGGTGCTCAGGGTACGCTCAGGGAGTGGTCAGGCGGCCAACACTCAGTGAGACCAACGTTTATTGTTGATCTTACGCCGCGACATGCGTAGTCAAACATCTTTCATGCTTCGGTGGCAAAGTTTTTGCACAGTTCTAAATCTATAACGTCTGTACTTGGAAAAAATGATTTGTTCCCGTTGGCTTTTTAGCAACGGTAATGTGCCTTTCTGAAAAGACTCGCAGTTATGTGAAGTTTCCCATGATATGGGCCGTAAAGCTAAATTAGATTCTTTGCGAGTTGATCATAGGCAGTAAAATACCATAATGTTAGACGTCGTGATAAGTGGTAGATTGAAATTTCCCTTTTGAGAGTTGCCCACATCTTCGCCTTACTATCTTTTACAGATATACTGCCATATTCGAAAACAGATTTCCCGCATACACTCACAAATTATTTGCCGAGCCCTATCTTGAAACACGTTAGCCTATATCTAGTTACTCCCCTAAAACCTCTGTCAAGTCGTAATCGTCTTGCATGCACGGTAATGAAAGAGTTATCGTTATAATACAGTAAACCTCGAAGGAATCTCGTGGAATATTCTCTGCAAATGATCCAAACAGAGTAGAAGGCCTGGCGATCTGGTGAGATCACTGCCTACCTCATCTCCTTCACCATGCCCCCAGCCTTCGTCCACAATCGTTTTTTACTTACCAAAAGCCCGTGCCGATATTCAAAACAGGTCTGGTTTGGTAGGAGATCGCGCAACTTTCTTTCCATGGATTGGATTATCTCCCCACTTGCGATTTTCATTCGTCACTAGTCTGTCAAAAGCTAGTATGTCCTTGAACCCCCCTATCATGGAGTCTAGCGCGAAGAGAACCCTAGCGGTAAGATATGCCGTAACCCGCAATATCACTGAAGTGTCCAATGGCGGGAACACAGTCACTCGTCTCGTTTCCTCTGAGTAGCTCTTCGTGTAGAGATTCCAATTCGGACCAAGCCTTGGCATATTTCATCCCTCTCAGCCTTTCTTTTTCGATGACTTGACTGATTTCTAAAGTGCCCACATCGTCGCTTTTCTTGCACAAAGTGGCTTGGCTGCTTTTCGGCTGAGGGCCTTGATATTGGACGTGAAGGCCCGTCTTGTCACTTTCTCCCAGCAGACCTGAAGCTCTCAGAAGTCGTTCCGGCGCCACGGTCAATCTTCCCTTTTTGAACACATATTTGGAGACCGAAGTTGCAAATACAACGGGTCGTGCTGATTTGTCTCTGCTATTCTCTACCGCAGCCCCAACGCACTGTTCAAAAGTCTTTCCCACCGACAATGTATGAGTGACCAAATCACTATGTTTGACGCTTCCTTTCTGAACAAAATGTGTCACAATATAGAGCCACTTCTGATCCCACGTAAGAATTCGTGACCATACTTCGTACCGCTGGAAAATTCGAATTTCTTTCTTGAAGCTTGTGGTAACAGATCCGATTATGGCAGCCATTATCCCCCGTTTGCCATCAGCGGCGAGCTCTCGGTCGACAATAGCGACTCCGCGATAGCAAAGATATGATAGAAGATGAGAGCGGCTTGCATCAAGATCCGTAAAATATGTACTATTCGACTTGTGGAGGTTGTAGTCGGCTTCAAGAAGTGGCGTGTATGTCGTAGTTATACAGGGAAGGAAAACCACCGGCAAGTCTTTGTCTTCGTGACGAGCTGATACAACATGGTGGCTTCTTTTTGTTCTGAAGAAGCTCTGGACGATTGGGCGGAAGATTCGATACTTTAAATTTGTCAAGTTCAGAACTTGCTGGAGCTTGGAGAGAGAGCTCTGAAATCATATGCATTTCGGTCGCGTTTGAATGAACACTTACGTGGAATACTAAGGGTAAATTCTTAAAATTGACCACAAGGAAGATTGTGAGCAGAAACTTCCAAATATCGATAAATTGAATCGAGTTCCAAAGCCATTCAATCATCTTGACAAATATAATCGATTCTGAATGCAGCGAGTGAAATTGAAACATTCGGGCAGAATTTGGTCTTGAAACCAGATGTAGTCAAATCACTGTGAAATTTGCATGTAATGGAAATGCATTGGACTAATAAAAGCCGACTTGGAAGAAAAAAAAATACCGCTGTGTGCAGGCGATTAAGAAAACTTGAAGGACCGGACACAGACAAAAAGAAAGTCTAGAGCCCAGGCGGTCGGGAAGCCGAGGCAAATTCGGCTGCGATATGGTCATCATTTTATTCCGAGAGCTAGGTTTATGTTGAAGAATTTTGCCCGATCCCGTGTGCTTGACGGCGGCATTGATGATGATCCTTGTTAGCAATACACTCCGCCTTTGATTTGGAACTCCAAATTTTTCCGAATTCCCATTCTTGAGTATACTGGCGGATCTGCGGCAGGGCGTACAGGCTTGTAGTGGCAGGAGGTTCTTCTCTCGAAGCTGACCGCCGTTGAAGGGTCCTTTGTAGTGAGGTTCGTATTGTAATGTATGAGCTCCTCTGTCACGTTGAGACCCAATTTACCATACCAAACAGGGGCAGCGTTGGGTATCTGCTGAACTACGTGACTCTAGTGGTAATTTACCACCTCTCAAGTCGGCATATATAAAGGGAAAAATGGCACAGACAATCAATCAGATACCAAACAAGCACAGTATATTAGCTTTATTCAAAATCATATCTATATCACAATGATAGTATCACGTCTCTGGATGACCTGAACCGCTCTATTTTCAAAGTCGATGAGTCTTGATTTCACTTCCGTTTCTGATATCCAACATAGTAATAGCGCTCCGATTTTTCAGGTCTTTCTTTGTACAGTATCCATATTCTGTACTTGCATCCAACAATCTTTTTTTCTCGATAAATTGCAGAGCCTCTTTGAAGCAACCAGTTTCATCGACCAGCCTGCGTCGGACTGAATCTCGGGCACGAAGAGATTGTCCCCTTAAAAATGAGGGGGTGATATTCGACGCGGGCAATTTGGCCTTCACAAAATCTATTATCCACTTTGATAGATAAGGAGTGGCAGATTGGCCCTTGTGGATAGAAAGTGAGGAACCACGGGACTGTTGAATTCGGAAATCATGACATAGGGCTAAGAGAAAGCCATGGCCGACTGCTTGTCCGCTTATGAAGGCGATCGTTGGCATAGGATACCTGTCAATATTTTATTTTGTTAGACACACAGACGTGAAGAGAATGTGAGGTCCGATTCAATGCGCTGGAATATATAATGCACGAAGGATCATACCTTAGAAGCTGTCGTAGAAGTGGCCATATATGCTCGTCTTGCCGTTTAAGCGTATCTTGTGATATCTGCTGGCTAATTCCATCGCTATAAAATTCAGGAACGCGACTGGCGGTGATAACAACGCCTTTTGGAAAGGTTTGAATCTTTGATAAAGAATAGCGAAAAGCTTCGACGAAATCGGGTGTCAACTGATTTGCTGGTTGAGATTCAAAAACTAGAAGATAAATCCTATCGGAAGGCATCGCACACGTGAACCTGCCTCCTGTTTTGATTTCGCGAGAGAATAGAGCCATCGTGTGAGATATTGAAATTGCTTAAAGAGCACATTTATCACTTTTTGCCGAATGTCATGGCAGGATCATTTGATAAAACCAAGCCTATCTGGGCCTATGCTGACTGTGTCTGACCTAGTAATAGCAAGCTTGCGCGACCGAGGTATTGTAGAATAATCAAAAAATATCATGCCTCGGCTGCTGGAGGAACTTGATTTTGTCGATACTCGCCACCCGTAAATCAATATTTTCACGAACGACGAGTTATCCCTTTTTGGAGTGTTGATTCAAAAGGTCGGAAAATTCAAAATGTGACAGCATGATCTAGTTACCGACCGAGATCGCTTTGGGGAGGTATGTTTGATTGATGTTTGTGTTGGTAGTACCCGATAGTCATAGTATTCTAACTCTCTGTAATTTCGGGAGGCATTGTGTCGGCTGGACCGTTGCTCGAAAGGGAAATACTCGGTCTAAAAGCGTTAGTTCGTGGCAAAGGCTGACACTGTCGATGCGATAATCGGTTCCTGCATTCGCCTGGGGGTTAATCAGGCTGTGTAGCATCGAAGGCCTGGACTATGCGGAACATGTTACTGTACCGAATACAGGATGCACTGGAACATATTTTTCTCACTAAACCTTCTGCCTCCACTTGTGGAGCTTTTCGATGTCTCCGCGACTGTTATCCCGTCGTACGAGACACTTAGCATGGGAATCGTGATCTTGTACCAGGTGCTTCATGAATCAACAGATCTGAAGACTTTTATTCTGTATCAAGCTTAGGCTCAGAGTCCAACGACGCCCGTAAGTTCCATTCAGCGGTACCCATAGCAAGGGACTAATTGCGAAACCCTGAATGAATAAAGAAATTCCGACAATCGCGAGTTCATGGATGCATTGAAAATGTTTAAGTAGTCTAATCCAACTCAATAATTATCTTTCCAAACCGACAGTAGAAGATGATAACTGAATGATAACCCAGCGGGCTGCAGCGTATCTCATTAAGAAGATGGCCTCTACGGTTGAGTCTCCGCATACGCCTAGTAACGATGAGACTGAGGTGTTCTTCAAGGGACTCATTCGTGCGAGATACGGAAAATCTCAAACCCATTCGTAATATGATATTTCGAACAGTGATCATGACATTGTTAAGAGCTTCCAGCTTCGAGCGGCTACTCTGGTAGATTGAGTCCTATGAATCATAACAGTTCTTGGATACGCCAAGAGCCTGGAAATGCGGGCATCCCTGTTAAAAGAACTTGAAACGACCAACATGATATCGTCTTGAGCTCTCTTTTCCACCTTCACTCTCACCACTCTCACCACTCTCACCACTCTCACCACTCTCACCACTCTCACCACTCTCACCACTCTCACCACTCTCACCACTCTCACCACTCTCACCACTCTCACCACTCTCACCACTCTCACCACTCTCACCACTCTCACCACTCTCACCACTCTCACCACTCTCACCACTCTCACCACTCTCACCACTCTCACCACTCTCACCACTCTCACCACTCTCACCACTCTCACCACTCTCACCATCCTCACCATCCTCACCAGATCATAACAGTGATTATTAACAGCACGATGGAGAGCATGACCAAGAGAATGGGAAATATTATCCATGGCCAGCGGACATGGATGAAAGTTTCGGTTCGGTAAGCCGTTCCTTCAATACGGTTGCTATTGGCCGAAGTTCGGATGAGATTGGTCATACTGGTGGCCATCGAGTCGAATAATTCAGCATCTTTATTCTGACTGTTATTGGACAAAATCAAGGTTACGGTTGACTCATCGTCGCTAAATAGATCAGCCAACTATGGTATCATGTTAGAAATTGTACTCTTGTCGATGGTATAATTTGAGTTCTCCGAATATGTCGCGGCGCCATTGAGGGGCCGGTATTGAAGATACATGGGGGGCCAAAAGTATTAGCACAGTCGCGTCGCGTCGCCCCACTAAAATAGTTTTGTAAACAACCCACCAATCTCAACTGCCCATCTCTCTCTCAATATGCGTCGCTTTGGCACTGGAATTAGTGGAAATCGAAGGCCAAAGGCTGAATTATCCCCTGAAACACGCTCAGCTATCATTTATAGCCTTCGAAAAGGGATATCGCCGACAAGAATTGCGCGCGATAATCACGTCTCCCTAGCTCAATTCACTATACAAAACAACGCTTCTACACCAACACGACAATCAAATCAAGGCCCTGGAGCGGTCGGCCTCGAAATTTTAATGATCGTACAAGGCGCTATATATTTCAGCTTGCGCGTCGGCACCCTCGGTGGACATACGCAGCGCTCGGCGCAAATATACCTGGTACAGACACAAGAATGTCGAGATCTACAATTAGACGCCTCCTACGGACATATGGACTCCGAAAATGGAAGTCAAAGAAGCGAATACTATTAAATAAGGAGACTACAAAAAAAAAATACTCGCTTTTTCCCGTGAGTGGGGGGGCTTTAGGGAGTGGGAAAAGCTCATCTATTCTGACGAATGTAGCGTACAACGCGGATCGAATTCTCCGATCCAATTCGTCTTCCGCCTCCAAAACGAGGCTTTTTTATAAGAATTTGTGAGCTTGACTAGCCACGGGCAAGATATTTCGCAAATGGTTTGGCCTGGAATTTGGATTGGTGGCCGGTCAAAGTTAGTGATTATGGCACGCGATCCCGAAGCTCCTCGCAACGGATACTCCTCGACCTCTTATACCGACGCTCTCGAAGATGGATTGGTTGAAATCTATACACCTGATTCTATCTTCCAGCAAGATAACGCGAAGATCCATAGATCAGAGCATACACAGGAGTGGTTTGAGCGTCATGGGATTCACGTCATTGAATGGCCTCCGCATTCCCTTGATTTTAACCCTATGGAAGTTGTCTGGGCGCTATTAAAACGCGAATCGATATCCTAGTTTGGCCAATGGTAGACGTCGTGAAATTGATTGAGAGGACTTTCGGAATGCGCTGGTCGATTCATGGAATCATATAGATCAGGGGTCTATAGACCGGCTTATACTCTCTATGTCTCGTAGAATCGCGGCTGTGAGAGCTGCGCGGGGCTACAGTCAACTCTCGCTTATGGCACAGCCCACCATCCAACGAAATCTGTGTGCCATAAGTGAATTGTGCCAGATGTGATCTGATGACTAACTTTACTTCCGCATTAGGAAGTTGAACCCCTCTAGCGTCGTCTGTTTCCTCGCATCCATCTGAAACCTAGTAAACAGACTTATTAGACTCTCTATCTGGCAAATGTTCTCCTCAGTGGCACCCTGTTGGTGCTGAGCCCATAGAAGCGCCTCTTGCATGCTATTGATAACTGTAGCACCAGATGGTAGGTCTGGTGGTGGTCCAGATATATATTCGTCATCCTGGTCATCAGTGCCATCGCCGTCGCCGTCGCCGTCGCCACCACCCGATAAATCAGGCTCGTCGGCGTCGTTTTCGTCTGATGGATCTAGGAAATCATCCAAAGGCATGGCTTCCTCAGCATCTTAAGGAAGCCTATCAGTCAAGCTTTGATATAGATCACCTAGCTCTAGCGCTTCTAGTGACCCTTCTATCTGATCGGAACGACTTATGATAGTACTCTTCTTAAAACAGTTCTGTATAGTCTGATCAAGCACACTATTACGCCATGCCTGGGTAATCCAGTACAGGGTATAATTAAGGCTCATCTTCTCTCGAGGATCAATGTTCCGATCAAGGATATTAATCATCCAACGCATCCGTTTCCTCCGATAGTGGTGCTTTAGGTTCTGGATGATTCCTTGGTCTAGTGGCTGGTAAATCGACGTCACATTTGACGGGAAAAAAAGCACCTTAATATTAGACGGTGGCGGCGCATCTTCAAGCGCGCATAGATGAGCGGAGAAATTATCAAGCAAAAGTAGGACTCGTCTTTCCTTGCCGATATGCTTCTAAAAAGAGCGGAACCATTCTCCCATAATTCCACTTCGCATCCATGCCTTCTTATTCCAGCGCCAGATACACCCAATCGCACGCATATTTATCCCTCGAAAGTCCGATAGCGGTTTGTGGTTATCGATAGTCCTCTATTTGGAGTCCTTCTTTGCCCCGAAGCGATGGGTAGGTGGTGAAAATGATAATTAGACGAGGACCCACACCAGCTCTCGCGCCGTAGGTCCGAATTGAGGGCCAGTACGCTAACTCCACCCTTTTTAATCTTCACCCCGCATTTTATCCGGCAAGAGGCCATGAAATCCTGTCGGCAATGTCGAGCTGCCAAGCGCAGATGTATGCTTGGCAAGGGCAGCGATTCCAGCCCATCCTGTGATCGCTGCCTGCGCCATCATCTTGCCTGTTCACACTCTCAGCTCAAGCCACTAGTGCGGACACGGCTCGAAGCCCGTCATCCCGTCACTCGGTCATCGACAGAATCGCAGACTCGGCCTACAAGCCTAGATGATTTCCTCTCCGACGATGGATCCGTCGCGGTGCTAGTTCATGAATATCTGTCCAAGATTCACGGTCGGCCTCATAGCATCTTTCACGCAGCGACTTTGTGGAAGGACATTCGCAAGCGACAAGCCAGCAAGGCTTTGATCCTGGCCATCTGCGCAATGGGGGCTCACGTCTCCAATCAGCCAGGTTTACGATCACTCGAGCCGCTGCTCACCACGGAGTCCAAGCGGCTACTTCTGATCGATCTTGAGCGCGTGTGCCTGGAAAACATACAAACCTGCATCCTGGTCGCAAATCTATGCGTGGCACATGCAAACCCATCGTCAGAGTTTCTATTCTTTCGTAAGTTTCCGATTTGATTCATATATGAGTGTGTGTGCGCACGTGTCTCGCCAATCCTTGTCCTTGGAGATGTGATACTCATATCGAACGAGACGCTAGGAACGGCAATTGCAATGATGCAATTACTGGAACAACGTAAGACACAAGGCGACGATAATGCAGTCTATCATGAGCTTCGGATCCGAATCTGGCTGGCGCTTCTCGCTGCGGACAATTGGTGCTCTTCGAGCCTGGGCTTCCCTCGCGAGATGAAAGACTGGTCTCGACCGGCTCGGTTACCCATGGATGAGAACCTGTTTGCCGATATGGATCCAGATGAGCCATTGATCGACCAGAACGAGCCTTGTAAGAGCCCTGGTCTATGGGCACACATGGCCACGCTCATCGAAGTGTTCAGCCCTATCCAGGAACTCAACTGGAGGGTCGCCAATTGCGAGGGGCTGCATCCAGATCAAATCGAGCAGGACACGGATCATCTTGCACGACTGTTGGATGACTGGCAAAATAGACTTCCACACGATGTACAATTGACGGAGTCGAACCTCATAGAGCACAGCGAGCGAGGCACCGGGGGCATCTTCATGGGCCTCCATCTTGGCTTTCACCACTACGCTACCTTACTTTTCTACCAGTATCTCGATACACGAAACATGCTGAGTATGCGTGCCCGGCAGTTTGCAGCTCGATGTAAACATCACGCTCTCAGTTATAGCTCGTGGCTCGCCCGTGGGAGACGACAGCCCGGATGCGAAGCCGTGTATCCAACCGTCGGCCACATGGCGATTGTATCCTCTTCCGTTATTCTTCATACTTTGCTTTTTGGAGAAGAAAACGAGCTTCCGCGGTCACGTCACTGCCTTGAAGCGAATTTTGAGGCGCTTCTCGAGTTAGAAGAGTACTGGCCCATTGTTAAACCCATGGTAAATTTTCTACCCTTTCCTCGAGAAATCGAATGGCCTTCTTTTGTTCGTCTTCGTTCCCTTTCAGCTGACAATCTGCCCAAGATTAATCGATTGATGCATTTCCAAAACAACTGCCTGCTCCTCTCTCACTATAATCAAACCCATCGTCTCGATCGTTGGATGGTGCGATTTCTCTTCGAGTATGCGTTACCACTTGAGACCAAGGCCATTGACCCACACACGGCATGGGAAATGGAAATTATCTCCGCACAGGCACATATCTTCTCTGAGAAAGGTCGATTGCCCGCGTTTGGGGCTAGCTAGGACGTTCTACGAATCAAAATGATAATATAATCCGAATTTTGTCGTGAGGGTCTGATAATTTTCTATTCTCCCCCAAAGAGGACGAATGAAGAACTGATCGTGTACAACATGAGCTATGCGAGTAAGTGAATAGGAAGTCATCTGGGATTTTTGATATGCAGCCATGTGTGGCCAACAAGCCAAGCCCTACCTCTTGCCTTCACACCGTGACTGAATGAGAAGTGGATCACTTCAATTACCGCGAAGATAGCCGTATCTCAATCTAAAATCGTTCATGCAAGCTGACTTAGACGACCAAGATAGCAATCTCATAAGAATTGCTAAAACTGACGGAGAAGCTGCCAGCAGACCCAGACAAGGTTGTGGTGGTGATAGTACTGCTTTCACCTCCCAGTGACGGCAAATTGTTGACACTCGTGGAACTTGGGGCAGTCAAGGTGATCAGAGTTGCAGTGGTTTTCGACGAACCTTTGACGTTGACCTGCACAGCGTTGGACGAACCGGTTCCCCCGTTATAATTAACGAGCTTGAGGATAGTGGAAGAACTGTTTGCTGTTGCGGACCAGTAGACGGGGCCAAATCCTCCATTCGTGGCGGTAACGGGTAGAGTCCGTGTACCCATATGGTCCGCGAAAAGCTTTTGGACGTAGTAGCTGATGGTGTAAAGGATCTCGGTTGCAGTGTGTTTTATCACGGCCACTGTGTCGGGCGCTTCATTGTAGTTCTTGATCAAGGCACCATAGGCAGAGCCGACGATGACATCTGAGTTCCTTTCGCAGCCTAAGAGGAAGATGGCCTCCGCACAGGACATGCCCAGAGTCTGGGCACCCACCTGGCCCTTGTTGTTCGAGCCAGTATTGGTTGCTGCGTACTCATTGACGAAGACGGGATAATTGCGGCTAGCTTGGTCGAATGTGTTGAAAAGTGAAACAAAATAGTTCTCGTTGCCATAGATATGAAGGTCTAGCGAGCTGCCGTTGGATGTCACTGGGTTTGGGTTGATGGTTGAGACAAGATTGATGGATGGATATACTGAGTGGATGGCATTGTAGAAAGCCATAAATCGGTATGCATAGTAGGAGTTTGTTCCACCGCTGAGAAAGTCCTCATTGCCAATCTCAATCCATTTGAGCGTGAAAGGGGGGGAAATCCCAGAGCAGCTCGTTGAGCCCCGTATGTTGTCGATTTATCTCCCTTGTCCCGTTAGCACTTGTCTCGCATTCATTAAATCGGATAGGCAAGCCTCAAAAATGAACTTAAAGTATAAGTAGGGATCAGCTTACTAGAAGAAACTCCAACTCATTCATGACGGAATCCACATATGGCTGTAAGTTGGCCTCGGATATGACCTCGCCGTCCAGGTAAAGTCCAGCCCAGACGCCTAGAATCACCTCAAGACCCAGATCTTGTGCCATCTGCATCATCTCCAGAAGGCCAAATCCATCGGTATTAATATCACCCCAAGTACCTGGGCGTCCCGGACGATCCGTAAGAGAACCTATTGTTTCGTTCCATTTCCATTCATAAGGGGAGCTTTTACCCTCCATATTATTCCCGCCGGGTAGTCGGATGTATTTCGTGCTCATGTTGAGTAACGCGCTGGCCAGGTCCTCGCGCACGCCATTGAATCGGTTATCGAACGTCTGCTTAAACAAGCTCAGAACGTTGAAATATACGCTTTGCCCAGCGAGCTTCGACCCATCAAACGTGAAATAAAACGTATTGTTGCCGTCGGAGCCAGTCTGGCTCGGCTGGAATGTCGCGGAGTAGCTCTGTACCCATCCCGCAGACGACGTCTGATCGATACTCATGCTCGTCGATCCGAGGTTCTGTCCAGTATTGTTGCTATGGAAGTAGCAGTTGACAGTGCCGGAATAACTGCCCCGCATGTAAAGACTAGCGATGTAACGCTTGGTAGCGTCCACGTTGAACCCCCAGAAGCCTTCATTATAGAATCCTACAGTCCCTGTGGTCCCTGCGGGGACGTCCATTCGCATCTGGTACGGCAGGCTGGACGAAATAATGGGAGAGGATGCGTCAATGACCAGTGAGACACCTCCAAGGGGATGCCAATAATCAGTGTTGCGTGCCAGACTGGCAGCTCCATTGGACGACGATCCTTGGAAAGCTCGGTTCCGGAGCATCTCCCCGTAGAGACCGCCATCGCCGGAGTGGTAAATATCCTGTTACTAGTCAGTCTCTTCTCTAGCTTGTGCAAAGGGATACGAAGGAGAAACTTCGATTTACCTCATATAGAAGCCCATACAGGAGGGAACTTGACTGATTGCCACCAGACGAAGCGACGTCGAGTGTTAATGCCACCGCACTGGCAGCGAAATACAAAACAGAAGAAATAATCATGATGTCAAGATTTAGACAAGGCCTTCTTATGTGAATATGATTGCTTTTGGCCTGGCCTGGAGAGCTCAAGACACAGGTCGAAGGGACGGCCCTTTATATACATGTGACACCAAGCGCGTTCCCGTAGGTTCAAATGCTGCCATGAGACAATAGACTGACTGTCTCTATGATGATGGAGATATTCGGTGAAAGTTCCACCGAAGAGGCAGAAATCAAATCTCCTGCCCTGCATTTGATTGGATCTACTATCCGGGGTATCGGTGAGTTGGAACTGAAAAAAAAGCCCAATAAACTGGATTATGGCTGGGTCTAGTCCTAAAACTGCAAATCGCCGAGTGGGTTAATTTGTGTAAGACAAGTGACTTCCTCTGGCAAGAATTCTATGCCGGATTGCCTCGGTACGATATCAGACCAGCCAGATGAATTTGAGGCTGGCAAAAAGTCACTCGCCCGATCAATTGATTTTTCATATCGCATAATAATGGAACTATTGAAATACACTTCGTCACCCAACTACGAGTCTAAACGACATTTTGCCCGGGGTTTGTTATGAATGGAGCAGTCGCCTGGGGTGGCCATGGCCAAGGACAAAAAGGAATCCTCCACTGATGCTTTCCAGATCCCACATTTTCCTCTAAATTGTTGGATCCATCTTCAGCAGCCCGGAACTTGACCAATGCTTGGCAGTTTGGTGGAACAATTAGATCTAAACAGAACGTCACCGATCCATCTCGATCGGCATCGTGAACCAATTTCCACTGGCAGTTCCAAAGGCCGTAGACACTTTCGTACGACACTGCAGCATGCGTCAAAGAGCCCCCCGGCTGTGGATACACTAGTGCAGTCTTCCAACCAGCTTCAAGGGGCCGCAAGCCGCCCACGGTCTCATGGAGCCAATTGACCACGGAACCCAAGGCATAATGATTGAAAGAGGTCATTTCGCCGGGATTGATAAATCCGGTTGGAAGCATACTGTCCCAGCGTTCCCAGATAGTAGTGGCCCCCATAGTAATAGGGTATAACCACGACGGACAACGCTCTTCGAGGAGCATTCGGTAGGCCAGAGAGAGATTATCAGTGTCAGTGAGAGCCCTTAAAATTACCGGCGTGCCGGCGAACCCGGTTGCCACGCGGAACTTTGCCATGCGTACACGCGCAGCGAGCTGACACCTAGCCATGTCCAGTTGGCGCCGGGTGGATAAAAGCCCGAACACTATTGCTAAGGAATAAGCTGTCTGGGAATCCCCGACTATGAGGCCGGATGGCGCTATATACTTCTCCTGGAAAAGAGCACGCAGACGCTGAGCTTTGAAGCTGTAGTGTATTCTTTCTGGCTTCCTCTTGAGGACTGCGGCAATACCAACCATGAGAGATGTGACGTGCACGAGATATGCGTCTGCCACCAGCGTGCCGTTTGTTCGGCAATCACCAGGCTCGTCGGGCGGCGCCTGGGGGTCGAGCCAGTCACCCAGTTGCCATATCTCGGGATCCCACAGTCCGTCGTTGCCCCGACGGACTCCCTGGTCCAGCCATGACTTCATGCTTGGATATTGTCGCTGTAAAATTTCGGGATCGCCGGATGACAGATATAGAATCCAGGGAAGGATTACCACCACATCGCCCCACAGAGCCTGGGGAATAGATGGCCACACGTGGTCTAGGACATTGGGGACCGCCAGAGGGGGAATGCCGTGGTGATCTGCTTGTTCGCAGGCGACATCTTCCATCCACTCCGAGAGCATGCCAATGGAGTCATACAGAAATGTCGCGGATGGACCAAAAACCTGAATGTCTCCTGTCCATCCTAGGCGTTCGTCCCGTTGGGGGCAATCCGTGGGGATAGACAAAAAGTTCCCACGCATGCTCCAGCAAGCATTTTGATGCAATTGATTGATGGCCAGGCTCGAACACTCAAACCGCCCCGTCCGCTTGAAGTCAGTGTGGATCACGAGTGCCTGAATGTTGCTCTGCCAGGGCTGTGCCGTTCGAGGGTCCCATCCATTGACTTGCACGAATCGAAAGCCGTGGAAGGTGAATTTGGGGGACCAATCAATCAACGGCTGTCCGGATGAGACGACCGTGTCAACACATTGTGCACCGCGGAGGGGTCGCATTCCCAGTTCTCCATCATCTTCCATGACCTCAGCGTGGGTGAAAGTCACTGTTGCGTTTGCTGGTAGCGTCATCGAATGTATGAGAAGCTTCCCAACCAGGTTCTGGCCAAAGTCGAGAACTGTCCGGCCAGATGGAGTGGTTAATATCTTCTGGGGCGCTAGCATCTCCGTGATTCGTGCTGGAGGGGCGTTTGGGGCGTACAATTGCGCATGAGGAAAGTCCAAAACGGAAACTGTGTCCCAGTCGGTGTCAACATAACGAGGGCTACTTTGATGCCAGTCACTGACTTCGGCTCGCGCATCATAAGTTTCACCGTTGTAGATTTCACTACTCACGATGGGACTGGGATGGCACTTCCAACTGATGTCCGATGCAACCTGGAATCGTCCACCAGAGAGCCCTTCTATCTCCAACTGAGCCATAGTGGCTATTCGATCTCCATATATGTACCTCTTGCCACCATCAAAGCCCAGCCGGCCGGCAAACCAGCCCTCAGCAACCTCGACGCCTAGTACGTTATCGCCATTTGCATTGATCAAGTGATCGACGTCAAACACTTGATATGCAAGGCGATGGCGGTAGCTTGTCCACCCGGGTGCCATTTCATGATTTGCGATCCTAGAGCCATTGAGATATGCCCGGTAGACCCCAAAGGCCGTGATGTACAACCTAGCCCGATGCACGGAGCCAAACGTAACAGGCAGGGCAAATTCCTTTCGAAAGAGCAAGGGTCTTATTGGCTCATCTTTGTGGCTCATTCGAACGGATGGGCTAGAGATAGGCACTGCAATCCAATCCTGAGAACTAAGAAGGCTGCATTCAACCGTCGCCCAGGAGGACCAGGCAGACCAATCCGAGTGTGCGCGCCTGGTTTTTCTATCCATCCAGCTCCCATATACTCGAACCTTTACCCGGGCTTGTTCTCGCGACTTCAACGGTGTACTCGGCCATGGGACTAGAGTTGACTCGTCGCTGTCGACAACAAAGTTTGCTTGTGGCCCAGTTTCACGGCACACAGAAATCTCATACTGGGATTGCGTCCAGTCACAGATGGATTCTTTGGCAGCTGATAAGGTCCAGGAGATGCGAGGCAAAGAGCATTGTAGGCCCAGTCCCGAAGAATGCTGCTCAAAGCGCAATGCAATGATGCCGGCCATTTCTGATGATTCGTGGCTCAGGTGCATTTCGAATTCTCAAGGAAAAGGAGATCCAGAGTTGGAGAGAGACATCTCCTCGAGTCGTCTTCTCTTGCCCCATCTCGCTTCCTATTCTCCCGAGAAATCAGTCGTGTGTCTCGTATACCCGATTATATTCCGTCATGCTGGACTTCAGATCGCAGACTAGCTGAACGGCCATAGTGGAGAGACTGCGGAAACTTCTCCTTGTGATTGGTTCATTTTCCGCAGGCGTTTAGGAGCCACCGGGGAGTTTCCCCATTGGGGAATTCGTGGATCCCGCACGACTCGCTTCTTCAACGCCCGTCAAAATAGAGTTGACCAACACTCAGCCAGCGTGGACACATTCCCCCGCGTCGCGTGCTTCCCAATCAATGCAAGTCGTATATCGCAAATTATTACACATCCAAAGTCGGTCGCTCTAGCCCTAAGAACGAATCGAGCTCCCCGCATGGAGATCTGCATAGCTTAAAGGCTGGGGATGTCCCTCGAATATTGTGGGCAGACAACGGTCTTCATTCTGTACCTATACTCAAGATCAACTGAACTCGCTAGCAAAGAAGATGGGCTTTCCCCCTAAGGTATACCAGTTTCTGGTGGGCACATTTGCTGCGCTTGGATCATTTCTCTATGGCTATGATCTTACCATTGTGGCCGAGGGTAAGCCAGCCAACGCGAAATCTGTCCCCTTATCTGCTCGCAGGAACTGATGAAGCTCTGTTTCTCTTGAACAGTGGTTTCCAGCGGTTCTTTTTTGAACTATTTCAGCCCGACAACCACTGAAATTGGCCTGGTCGCGTCCCTGCTCACGGCCGGCGCTTTTGTCGGCGCCGGGTTAGCGTACCCATGCTCGGATTACTTTGGCCGCCGAGCAACCATCTTGGCTGGAGGGGTGATCTTCTGCCTTGGGGGTGGTTTGCAGACCGGTGCGCGGAACTATGGTTACGTCTTGGGAGGCCGTTTTATCGCGGGTGTCTCGTGAGTTCTCTTTGCCGGACTCTTTCCCCTGCTTGTGATCTGGGCTTGGCCTTCGTAACTAACAACCTATAGTGTCGGTGTCCTCACCATGATCATTCCAATTTATCAGGCAGAATTGGTACACCCCAATATACGAGGATTGGTGACCGGACTGCAACAGTTCATGCTCGGCATTGGTGGTGTCTGCGGAAGTTGGATCAGCTATGGCACCTATGTCAGCTTTCCAGACAACCGCCAATGGCGCGTACCGTTGGGCATTCAGATTGTCCCTGCTGCTCTTCTGTCCGGTCTGATATTCCTTTTCCCAGAATCGCCTCGTTGGCTTATTAGCCAGGGTCACCAGGAGAGGGGTCTGCAGACTCTCGCGCGGCTTCATGCTAATGGTAACCTATCGGATCCTTGGATTCTCGCAGAGTTTGAACAGATTAAAGCGCAGGTTACGGCTGAGAAGGAACACAGCCAGGTCACATTTTATCAGTGGATCATCGATAAGTCAAATTTCCGTCGTCTCCTGCTGGCTTGCGCTATGCAAGCTGCCACGCAAATGACGGGAGTCTCTGCCATCCAATATTACTCCGTCACCATCTTTGTAGGCTTTCTTGACCACCGGAACCCCTTTCATCAAACGGCTGACCGTGACTTCATATTAGAAACAAATTGGCATTGATGGAACGGACACCCTGCGCTACCAAGCCATCAACTCTATCATTGGCCTGATCGGTGAATTCCTCC